ATTTTCTTGTCTTAAGTGAAAAGTTTATTCTAATTGTGTTAGTATGAGGAATAACTTTATTTACTGTGATTATAAAGAAGGACTGAAAAAACTTAATCACAAACAATTTTTTGAAAATGGAGATATAACACTTCATTTCGATAGTAGCGCTACTTCAAAATTTTTTTCTTCCTCTAACTCTGTATGAAACTTTTTTCTGCATAGTATGATATGTCCTGCTCTTATTAAATGCATAGTTGAGCCAAAAATAGATTTAAGAACAGGATGTGGCTTTTAAAAGTGTGAGAAAGAATTTGGAATAGAATAATTAATTAGTAATAAAGTAGGAGTTGTTTTATAGCAAAGAAACTAACGTAAAAAGATTAATAGAAGCTTTTTATGTTACATATATATATATATATATATATATATATACTAGAGGGCTCCTCCCCCTGCTCATTACCGCTCGCCAACCCTCGATAATTGCTGCGCAATTACATTTTCGTTCGGTTTGCGAACAAACTTAAAGTCATTTTCCTGGAGATTAGCTGGCAATTTTTCTGCTCCAACATCACATATAGAGAATATGATAGGATTGTAAAATGTCAGAGGAACTTATTATCAACATTATAAACTTATATAAAGCAATTTCAATACAAACAATATTATAAACTTATATAAAGAGAGGAAGCAATATTATTTAACACATTACTATAGGGCATTAATCTCCGGATCCAGATATTAATCTCCGGATCCGAAGCACGCATGGTAGAGCCTAACTCAAATCATTGTTGATCTTATAGGATGCCGGATGCTCCCTATATGATGCTTTATTTACCCCCCCCCCTCCCAGTAATTCAAATTTTAGACTAAAAACAATTAAAACCTGATGAAGAAAAAACTTTACAAAAATTACAAGCAAATTTAAACACGTAATATTAATAAGTTGATTCTAAGTAATATTTCAAAAGCAAATACCATTGCAAGTAATTGTTCAATTAACTTCAATACTGTCAACTGACAAAATATTTTAGTTTCAATCAGAAGTATTCGTAAGTACACCAAGGTATTAATTTTCATTTAAACATTTTGACTCTTCAGCGTTTCTTTGATGCGCATTCCGCCGTCGCGTATTGATGGCACTACGATTATTTACCAGGTAATTTTGTGCAGCTAAATCATGTTCAACTCTATGCCACTGTTGATATCGCCTAAGATATTCACGGTGATCCATTTTTTATAAAAGATATAAGTATTTTAAAGAAAACTCTGTTCAAGATATTTTGATAATTTGGAATGTAAATAATTTTTTGAGAGAGTGTTGCTTCGTGCTTCCAATAACTCTACCCGATTTATAAAAGCTATTAACATATATTGGAATTCTAAATGCGTTCTATCAAAACAAGCATTTTATTATAAAACTTTAGAACAACTATCTTTTTACATTGCCAGTCAAAATTATTAATAAACACTGGATAATATTGCATTAATGACACTTTTATCTAATGACGTCATAAACAATCATTTGCATAAAATTTAGTTCATAATAATCATGTATAATCGTTTGCATGAATAATCATTCGGTTTTTTTTATAGCTTTGCGTAACAAGTGTGAGATTTTTTTTTTGGGGGGGGGGGGCAATGGTGATGTTATAATTTTGTTGTTGAGTTAATAAATCTTCCTTTTTATAAACGTAATAGTAAAGTTTTTTCAATTATTTGATTCAAAGTCCTCTGAGTTTTATTTGAGGTCAGTTTGTATTTTGTATTTTTTGACAGCATTATTAAAAATTATAACCTTTTCACATACATGCTTTCTCAATTTTGATTGGCTGTTTTGCGCATTACTAACCAGAAGTCTTCTGTGATTGGCTATGTGTTATCATTCCACTCTCTTATATATATAAAGATATTTATTACATAAAAGGAACATTTTTTTAAAATACTATATCATGATCATTTTAATAAAAACAATTGTGTGTTGCAGGAGAAAGCAGAAACACTGGGGATAAGTGCCTTGAATTTATTTTTAGATTTTGATGAAATGGAAATTTTGAAAGAAAATTTGGACTACCTTATCAATACACTGGATGTAAGTCTGTTGTATTTTTTTTATGAAATTGCAGTATCCCTTGCTCAGTCATCTGATTTTTCACTTATCAGACACCTCTTTTAATATACGTTAAAAACACATCCAATGCACATTTTATATCATTACAGATAATATCACCCAATTATCAGTTTATTTTTGGACCCTGTGTCATCAATTCAATCCAGTTAAATCTGATTGCTGTTGTGGCAACAGTTCCGTAATTTGACTACTAAAGAACTACAATGAAGGGGTTTAAGCTCATGTCACTGTATTTGCCTGTCTACTGAAAATGTATCAGTGATCAATCAGTTACTAGTTGCAACCAATTGGCATATGTTTCATTTCTAAAAACAGTGTAAATAATTTGTTGTGATTAGCTTTCACAATATTGCAGCATTTAAGTGAATGATAGCAGTCAAATGGTATAGTTCAGCATCTAACTTGGATGTCTCTATTAAGCACTAACCTAATCAATGATTAATCTTATCAATGATTAACCTTAACAATGATTTTTTTTTCAAGATAATATATTCTAATTCTAAATAATAAAAGGAAAACTCTAGTAAAGGTTTTTATTAAACTTTATATTGTGCTAAGTCTTATGTCCAAACGTCTGTTTATCGGTTTAAAAAAATATTTTTTAAGCTTGCAATTTGTTTAAAAAAAATTAAAAAATGTGCTAAAAAAATTATGAAAAGATAGAAATCCTCCGCTTTTTTAGGATTTTTACTCGACTTCCAATTTTTCTTGATTCGCTTAAAAAGCTCTCTAGATATATCAAAATACACAAAAAGTAAAATTAACATGAAGGGTTCCAAACTTTTAGAGCAATTTCCTGACCAAACTATTGGGACCATATTTCCCAGTTTGCGGCTTGGGGGTCAGAAATCTGTATTCATCAAAAAATTGTATGTTTATTCAGAGAAAGAACATTTTTGTGTCTGATTTAATATTTTAAAATATCATATGCACTTATTAATTAGCATATTTGAGATCTTCCCTTTGAGCCATTAAGATTGAGTCTTTAAACATGAAAATATGATCATTAGATCAAAAGATATTCATTGTGGTCTGTATATCATTATGTGCACTGTACATGCTTGTGTTTGGCTCTTTAAGAAACTATATTTATTACGCTGGTCAAAATGGCACTTTACTCATCGCCTCTGTTCTACGATAATTTACAGTATATTCCTTTTATATATATATATAACCNTATATATTATTATTGAAAAAGGTGTGCTACAGCTATGTGAAATGAATTTAATTCACTTTTTTTCTTTATAAATTTAATAATGTACTAAAAGTAATAAATAAACTAAATAGCAGTCAATTTAAATTTCTTGTAAGCAGTTTAATCTAGTTATCGCATTCTATTTACCCTGCGGAATATTTCAGTATTTTTTTTTAATAGTAGTTTCCGTCAATTAGTTCTTTTTTTAAATAAATGTGTTTTAAAAGAAATATCAATTTTTCTTAATATTATTGTTCTTAATGGATTTTGTTTTATTTGATATTATTATAAAGCATATCATTTATATGCTATTGGCATATTGTTTCCAAAATCTGTTCATTTTAAAAAATTCTGAATAATTGAGAATTATTTAGAATAATTAAGATTAATGATTTTCCTCTAAAAGAACAAAAAATATTGCTTAATTGGTAATACATTTTTTAAAAAAAGTTAAATATTTTTTTCTTCATATATTTTAGCTATTTGTTCTATATTAAAGCTCAGCCTATTATTTTCAGTAAGATAATATATATCTTCGTCTTCAGTGGCACTACAGCCTTGGATAGACCCTGGCTTTCTAAAGTAGTCTTTTGCACTCGTAAGATAGCACATATAGTTAAAAGTAAAGCTTTATTTCAAATTTATTACACTGAAATGGATATTTTTTTTCCTTTGCCTATGAGCTTCAAAAACCACTTTAAAATAATACAGTCATAATTAGTGTCTGAAAATTATTAAATAATATGACTTCTTTAATTTCGGGGGCTCACGAATTTTTTTTTATCAGAACATATTTCACTTTACAATTTCTTTTAACATTGTATATTTACTTATTTGATACATATTAGTCAGCTTTCTCGCTGGCCGAAGACTCCCCTTGTAGTAAATTGTGACTAGTGCAGGTTAAATCTGTCGAGTCTCAAAGTCCTCCATGTTCCCATAACAAATCGTACATCTGGGAGTACTGATTTAGGAGTTTCCTTGTCTTGTAGATTGGTTCAAAATTATAAGGCTACGGAGTTGAACATTGGAAGTCGTAAACCTAAAATTGGGTCGGCTGTTCAACGACGGTTATAAAATATAAAATAAAATTAGTCAGCTTCAGCCATGAGGGCTCAGGGGATCCAGTGTTTGCCTTCTAATGAGGTGAACCGGGTTTGAATCTTAGTGATGGCTAGTTCATACAAATTCCGCATCCGGCTTTCACCGAGCACAGTACTAACGTAAAATATCCTTTGTTGTAGGCGACGGATCACGGGTTTAAGTCCCCTTGCCACAAGAATAACCATAATAGGTTTTAGTGGTTTATCTCTCCATGTAATGCATATGCGGGTTAGTTCCATCAAAAAGTCCTCCTCAAAGGCAAACTTCTCCCAATACTTGTTCCAGGAGTTCCCTTGTCTTTTGGATTTGGTTCAAAATTACAAGACTACGTAGTTGAACATTAATAGTCGTAAACCCAAAATTTGATCGGCTTTTAAACGAGGGTTATAATATAAAATTTCTTTTAAAATTTTATGTTTACTTATTTGTTACAAATTATAGTCAGCTTCATTTATATGTATGTCACTTATTTTTCAGCTGGAATATATAATATGCAAATACACAGATGAAGCAAAGGATAGCTCCATAGAGGACTGCTGCCCTGGTGATCCAATTATAGTTTATTCCTATGATGTTAGTATTAGTTTTTGTTTGCTATACTTTATAATTCATTAATTAATGTCAAGTGCTCATTTATATCAGTGTACTGCATAGCTGCCTACTCTACTGGATTTTGCTAGATTCTCCTGGTTTACTGATTTAACTAAAATTCTCCTGGTTTTGGTTCATTTTAGAAAATTCCCTAAAATTGAGTAAGTTTTCTAAAAAAATCACTATTGAAATAGAGTTTTTGTACAGTTTACTGCTTGAATGTACTGTTTAAACAACTTAACCCCTTAATGATTGGTTAATTTTTAAGAAAACGGTCATAAAAGTACCTATTTTACTTGAAATAGGACTTAATTTAACATGACATAGTTAAGAAAACTACTCTCATGCATAACTCTAATTTAACTTCTTAGTATTAGTTTTTTTAGTACCCTTATAAATGAAACATTTTGTTAATAGAGAAAAAGAATTTTTTTAGCGTAACTAGATATTTACCAAGATTGGGCCACAGCTGAATATGGGATGCGTGTCTAGTAGCGAAATATAAAAACTTGTAATAATTTAATATATATAAATAATTACTAATAAATTATTGTTAAAAATATTTAATAAATATAATAAAAAAATTTTTTCAATATTTTCCCCCAATTTCTTTATTTACTCTTTTTTAATACAATGTAAAAAATTGCAAATTTTAATTTCTGCAGCTAATTTTACAATTGAATTTCAATAAAATGATTAAAAAGGGAATACAGATAAGTTTTAATGGATGTCGTTAGTCCTTAGTAATCTGAAAATGTTTTTAAAAAACCTGACCCGGGTTTACAAAAATGGTCTGGTTCCTACCAGGGTTCGTTGATTTAAATCAGCTTGATTTAAATCACGATTTAAATCATGATTTAAATCAAATGATTTTTTTAAAAAAATCATTGATTTAAATCAACTAATTTTTTTTATTTATATATATTGATTTCAAAAGTTAAAAAACAGTGTTTTAAATTTTTGATACTTTTATTATTTTCTTTTCTTAGTATTAAAATTTAATTTAAATAAATTGCTGCATTAATTAATTTTAGTTAACGAAATTACTTTCTTGGTGTGTGTTAAATTCCAACACATTTGAAATTACATTTTTAAAAATCTTTTGATTCTTGAGATTGAAAGTACAGATTAAAGTAAACATTTAATGCTGTCTTAATATAGACTTGCATAGCTGTAGAAAGTAATTAATAAACATGAATTTTTTTCAAAAAATAATACAAGTAATGTTAATTAAAATTCTACCTTTTGAATGAAAAAGCGTTAATTAAAATCTACATCATATTTTATTGGTGGAAAATGTATATTTCTGAAGCTTGAGGTTATATTAAAAAGAAATTACCGTAATATGCCAAAAACAGAAAAAGAAAAAAAAACGGGCTGATGAATTCAGATGTTTTTTTTCCTATTGTAGTGTCATTCTTCCCTTTCAAACTCTTTCGAAGTCTATTTGATGCAGTAGGGTTATTAACTGGTATTTTTTTCTCATAATATGTTTACAGTATCTTTGACATTATCTGATTTTCTATAAAGAAATTTTGTGAAAAAAAATTCCAATGAATACATAGATTTTCTAATTTTTTTTTTAGCTTAACTTATCTATTTTGATATAGAATTAAAAATGAATATTTTAATATAAAAATATATAGATTAAATATTTATTTATTTTTTGATGAATGACTACATTTATAAACACAGTCTGCTACATTTATTTTGTCATTTTAAAAATCAAGAGAAAAAAAAAGAAATCACAATTTTAAATTAAAGTTATGGTTTGCTAACTGAAACTTTGTTTTAATAGTTAAAGTGCAGGGGTCTGTCCAAGCCAAATTTACTACCGTTTAACGGTACCTTTACAAATTCAACTTTAGGAAAAATGATAGAATAATCACACAAAATACTTTTTCTTAAAATTTTATTTTTGTGTCTCGTAAGAAACGATAAATCCATATTTTTACTATATTTGTGTTGATTTTTTAATATAATTTTTAATTTTCACAAAATAGGTACCTCTCAGAAAAACCCAGACAGACCCCTGAAGTATTCTTTAAATTCTCTATTTCATCTAGTCTTTAAATTTTAATCATGCATTTGTTTCAAAATGGTTGCTATGCATTCAAAGCCATGTATTATAATGAAAAATTATTTTAGTTAGAGCTTCTAAAATATTGTTACAATATAGTTTTAATATTAAGTTAATTTGATTAAACATTTTTAATTTTTTTAATCATAAATTAAAGTTCATACAGTGTATTTGAATAAAAATCAAAAAATTCTGATTTAAATCAAAAAAATCCGATTTAAATCAAAAAAATCTGATTCTTTTGATTTTTTTAAAAAAAATCAAAAAAATCACGAACCCTGGTTCCTACTTTAGCGAGTCCTGTTAATTTAAACAATTTTATCAGTGCTTACTTTATAATAAAATTGCTTGTTTTTTTATTATTATTATTGATTTTAAGAAAGTTAAATAATTAGCACTGTCGCTGGTGGTATATATTTATTCGATGATAAACAATCATGCTATTTTTAAGGTCCTTAATTTTTTTTAAAAAAATTCTTAATTTTTTCAAAAAAAGTCCTTAATTTTTGCTTTGTTAAAAGAGTGACAACCCTGTAGTACATGGTTTTCAAAACATTAAAAGTTTGAAAACCTTATGCAAATCCTTTTTTGTTCTCTCTCATAAATTATAACTTTACTATTTTGAATAGCATCTACTATAGAAAGGTCTAAAGACAATTAGTTGGAAATTATATAATTATGAATCGTCCCATGTTAATGAAAAGAAGCATATGGAAAACGTGCATATTTTATTAATTTCAGTTCTCTCACTTTTTACAGCCCCTACCAGAAGTGCTGTTGATTAATCAACAGTGTCACAATGGATATTTTGAAATTAAATTGTCTGTTTTCGATGGCCTGACTGTTAAAGATCTCATTTCCAAGACTGCCAAAAATCAAAAGATTCCAAGTAAGTACTTGTTCAAAATAATCTTTATTTATATACATGTTATAAATGAAAAAATAATTTTCCTCCAAAATACTGTATCAAACTGTTTTTTTAGTAATTTTTTTTTCAAGAATTATGTGATTTTCTTGTAAATAATTGCACAATATCTGTTTTTATTCATCCATTAAATTAAAGTTTCGTTACATATTATTTTCCATCTTTTTATGAAATTGATATAATAAGCGATTCAACCATTCACGGATTTCCCAAGATCGATTTTTAATTTAACAGTTATATTAGTAACTTTGGATTTAAAAAAAAAAAAAAAAACTAAGCTTTTTTTTCCAGAAATAATTAGATTTTTTAAATTTTTATATATATATTTTAAAGCTGTTTCATTATATAAATGTAAGGTATTTTCACATTATTTCTGACTGAATTCTTCACCATTATTATTATCAGAAGAGTGTGTTTGTTTTTTGTCTCTTCCTTTAATATGATTAAAGCTAACAATTAAATGGTGATAGAACATTATCATAGCAAAAACAATGATTAAAAGGTAGATTTCCCTTGAGTTTAAAGAGGAAATAGGAATGCCTGATTGAAAATTAGAAACCCTGTGACAGAATTGCGGCGACATTGCCGCAGAACCTTACAAAGTTTTTGCAGAAAAATTTTTTAATTGGGAAGGAAAAAAATTTTTTTTTTCCTGTCTGCTTAATTTTTTGAAATATGTTTTCTTTTCTTTCTGATGAATTATTTTTCAAAAATGTCTTTTTTGCGCATCAGCGAGGAAAGAAATAATTGTGATTTTTCTATTCTCATTTGGGATTTAAAAAAAAAACACATTATGACTGGCTTCAGCTAGAATTTCAAATCAATAATATAATATTAAAAAAATCCAGAAATCACGAAAGTTTAAAAGATAGTTCGCTCCAAAAATGATGTTCTTTTTTCATTTTCTTTCTTTACAAAAACACTATGTTTTACACACACTTGAGTATCTCTTTTTTTTCAAGTGTTCTATTCCCGTGATTTCGTCGTCGATCTTTATGTTGGAGTTACTGCACATATTTTACGATTTTTAATGTATGTAAGAATTTGAATTTTTTTAATTATTTACAAAATTCGAAAGAGGAAATAATTAGTGCATTTTTCCGCTTACAAAATGCGAGAAAGCATCTATAATATTGGAATTAAAAAAATTTTAACTTTCAAAATTAAAATTTTTTATACATTCTTGTTCTATACTTTCTTCTTCAAACACAACCTTTCTTTACTTTAAATTAGTAATTGTTATAATTAAAAGTATCTTAAATAGAAATATTAATGCTAGAGAAGTTTGTCTCAGAAAGCCCGAAAAAAATTCTGCGACAGGGATTAGAATTTTGAATTAAACAAGTTTTGATGTTATTAATCCCATTTTTATCAGTAGGAAATTGTTGGACTTCAATCGAGTATCTTTATGCAGTCAAATCCCGCTATAGTAAACTTTCAAGGGATCGAAATTTCAGTTCATTATAACCGAGAGTTCTCTATATTGGTACTGCAAACAATTATAATTCATTTTTCCGAACTTCTCCCTTTTGATACACATTATTTGAATAAATGACCCATAAAAAGAAATACAAAAATGATTAGAAAACAATATGTAGTAACAAAAAATGTGTTAACTTTTATTATTCCTCGTCTTGCGTACAAAAAAATTAAGGAATGAGAAACTGATATAGAAGAAGCAAACAAGAAAAAATGCTTATCGTTACATTCTACTTAATAAGATGATTTTCAAAATCGGTATATGTATTTTATGAAGAGCTGACCGGCCTGTATAGGGGGCAGGGAACTGTCCTTGCATCAGAAAAGTTCTGGGTTCGAATCCCGGGCAAGGCATGGATGTTTCTTTCTCTCTATCTGTGTTCTATGTTCTTTCTCCTTTGTGTGTGAATGTGACCCGCTCTATAAATGATTGTGGTAGTGCGACGTGGGCGACGCTGCTTCACCACCGTGGCTTCGCCAGTTCTGGCACTTTCTGTGGCCAATGGACAATAGTTCTAAGTGCCCGCGATTAAAAAAAAAATTATGAGAAACTTCAAAATTGCCAAAAAATAAAGAAAACAAATCGGTCGAAGACAGAAAAAAAGTTCATAATATGCAATTTCCTCTCGTCTTTTGGATCACTATATCCAAGAAAAAATTATATGTGTGTAGCACAGGGTGCGTACTCAAATCTTTCAACAAAAAATAAGTATCTTTTAAGCACTCAAAAAATATTTTTAAGTGCCATATACATGAACAAAATGCAAAATAATTTTCAGACTTTATATGATCATGATAAAGTAACTAGTTTCTGACAAAGAACTCTTTTCTTGATTATATAAGCTATTATGAAATGAGCAAGAGATTTTTCGGTTCAATATCAGAGGGTGGAAAATGAAACCTGAAATAGAGAATATCTTGCAAAATGCAGCAGTTGCACACGGCAGTGCAATAATCTCACCAAATCTAGCTCAGTAGATGCACATGCGGACTCACAAGTATTTCATCAAACATGTAAAATGTTTGACGCTTTCAAACGTTATGGACCGATGGTGCACCAAAATAAATTGTAGTTGAATGAATTGTGAAAACATTGAACAGTGTGAAAAGCACGCTTTTTCGTAATGCGTGTCGAAAATATCATTTTGGAAAAGGGAAAATTAAGCTCTTTTAAAAACGAAAATTGAAAATAAGCACCTTTAAGTACTTTTTAAAAACGCTACGCACGGGAGCAAAAATTTCTTTCACTATAACTGGGTTTGCCTGTATTTGCATCTTCCATATTTATCTACCCATGTACATTTTTTTACTTCATTTTTGACAAGGATTCAAAATAATGAAAGTTTACCTGTGAAATTTATACCTAAGCACTTAGCATCTGTGTTAAGCTTTGATTTATATATTTTTTTACTTATTTATGTTTATTTTGGTATTGTTTATCTTAGGTTCGAAAAAAGTGACACTGTACAGGTATGAAGATCCTGTCATAGGTCCGAGGACTATTCCCATTCTGGGCCAAACAGAAAAAGGAAAAGCTCCGATTCAGCTCAGTTCGAGATTCCGTATTGATAAGTGTTCGATTTTTGTTGAAGAAAATGAGAAGAGGCATGATATTGGACATCAAATGACTTATGTAGTGGAATAATTAATTTGCATTCAATAAATTATTTATATACTGTTTAATTTATTTGCTTATATGTATTACATAATTAAGAATTAAAAATGTATGCTCAATTTTGTAAAGAGTCTAGATGCGTTTATCGGCATTTTCAGCGAGTGGATTTCAGTATTTTTGCTGTAACTGTAGTTGAACAGCTGCCCCAATCTCTGGGTTTATCACAATTAATGTTCAACTCCGTAGCCTTGAAATTTTGAACCCAATCCTGAAGACAAGGGAACTCCTGCATCAAGTATCTGACGAATTTTTTGATGGAACTAGCCCGCATTTGTGTTATATGGAGAGGAAATCTTTAGTTAGGTTGACGGCAAGGGGACTCTAACCCATGATCCTTCTACCTCTGAAGATATTTTACGTCGGCACTGTGGTTCGTGCAAGCCGGGTACGGAATGAAAAGGAAAAAAAAAAAACAGTATCAATTAGTTAATATTCCGTTACACCAATATATATTTAAAATTGGTAATAGATCAAGGTTTCCATAATCAAATACTTTTAGAGTAGGGTTTCAATAATCTTGTAACGAAAACCCAATGAAAATGCCACTTAACATTTCTGAACAAAAGTAATATTAGTTGGATGATCCCTTAATCTATCATTTAAAAATTTTATATTATTCTATGTTGATTGGAATAGGATCATTTTTAAAATTACGTGAAATTGATGAGAAACTACCGAACTCCATTCAACTTGATTTTTTATTGAAAAAAATAAATAAGCATATGTGCCCTGAATTCCTCTGTAATTGTTAATCGAGCTTCTTTTCCGTAGAATGTCTAAACTATTAATAAAAAAAAAAAAAGGTGAAACAATGAACCCTGTGCTTGGGTAAGGTTATATGCCTGAACCACATATATAATCAGTAGACTCTTCCTATATTGGAATGATTGAATTCTGCAATTTCTACTAGCATTATTAATTGAAATAAAGAGATCTTGTATCATAAATCCAAATCTTTCGATTCTTTAAACCAATTTTACAAAAATCCGCTTATGTATTTTTAAAAATTTGGATGTTCTGAACGGAAATCAGGACAATAAGTTAAAACAAGGGACAACATATTTTGTTTATCAGAACAATTACAAACCATGTCAACACATTAATCAAAAAAAGGACTAATATTTTGAAAGTATGTTAAGAAGGAAATTTGTTTTGTCATTTTATAGATAGTAGTCTTAAGATTAGGTTTTTATCAGACAGTTGAATTCCCAGTACTGGAGAGGTATCTAGTTTTGTTCTTCAAGCTATGCATAAGCTAAAAACAATTAGAACTAAACAAACCAACACTTAATACAGTACAGAACCCGTTATCCGGAAATCAGAAAACCGGAAAACCAAAAAACCGGAACGAAATTCAATAAATTTTCCCGCCATTTAAAAAAAAAAAAATTTTTTTTTCCTCTTAAGATTTTAGGATTTTTCTTTCTTTTTTGAAAAATGTTTACCTTACCATCATTTTGGAAATAATTATTAGTGTATTACTTCATCATTTTTCTTCTTTTTAAGATTATTTCCAAATATTTTTTCTTTAGTTGGGTTTAACAATAAAAAAACGGCTTTTTGTAGCGATTCAGAAAACCGGAAAAATCAGTTATCCGGAATAGCGATGGTCCCGATCGTTCCGGATAATCGGTTCCTTACTGTATATACCTATTTCTACCATAGCCACTCAAATTACCAGATTTTATGTTTCTTGATTGAATGAATGAAATATGGATGTTAGGAAAGAAATAAACTAAAAAAAACTTTATTATAATTAAACAAAATTGTGTATTGCAAAGTCAACGCATTACATATACAGGGCGTTTCCATCGTACATTTTTCGCAAACATATTTCATCTAATTGCTATTATTTCTATAATTCTTATACTTAATATTATTTCTTTCAAGAACTTGTGCTGTCTTGATTGCTTCGAAATTTTTCTGAGTAAAAACCAACAGTTAGTTAGAAATGAAATAAAGCTATCAAAATAAAATATAAGCTGCTTACCAAAACATTTAGATTTTGCCACTTTCTCTGACACTAAAATGCCTATCTAAAATTTTAGGTACTTTCTTGAAATTTGAATGCACAGTTATTCTGATTGAGCTCACTACGCAACTGTCTTAGCAGAAATGTGCAACTAATCGAATGCAATACGCTGAACATGCATTACATCGTATTTTCTGATCCGATAACCTTAGAAAAGCAATAAAATTGTTCTCCCGGTCAAATGACCGGTAGTGGTAGAAATAGGTATACGACAAGGTATTATTTGAAACAAAAAAGAAATATTAATTGTATATAATTGTTAGAAAAATTCATGAAGTCAAATGTGCAAAAATGGTAAGATGATAAGCGCATTTTCGATGAAAAAGTTCTTAACGGTCATTTGACCGGTTATGATATGTTAGTGTTAAAGTTAGCTGAATAACAGATTAAAGTATCAAAAAAATTATTGAGAATGATTACCGGGTTAACTTTTTTTTTAATTGTTGAATTTAGATTTTTCTATTTTAAATTCAAAACTTTGATGGCAATGCCATTTTTTTTAAATCCATATGCTTTCATAATTTATTCAATGTGCCCATAAATATTAAATAAGTTATTTTGAAATTTTTTTTTAATCCATTGGTGTTTTATGCAACTTAAATATTGTAAATCCTGGTATATAAGTAGACTTTTCAAATCTCCAAAAGTATTACGAAAATTAGGGGTTCAATCGTAGTCAGACATTCGTTGAATGACCAATATGGATTGGGGAAAAAATCCAGTAGATTTTACGAAATATAAATTTCATGCTAACTGTTTTATAATATACTAAATATTTTTCATATAGGCAATTTTATTGTCATCAAAATACAAAAATTTAATTAAAGGTAAGTAATATTTACCAGTTATGATTGACATTAAATGAACTGGAAATGTTTTTTCTCATGTTAACTTATAATATTTAATTATAATATACAAGTAATTTATTATTGATAAAGATATTTCGATTCATTTAAAAAGAGAGTTCCGAAAAAAATATAAACTGAAAATTTTAAAAAGGAAACAAAAGTTTAAAACTGAATACTATAAGTGAAGCTCGTTTCATTTTGTAACACTAATTTAAATATTTAAGTAAGCAATAAACTGAGAAAAATTCTGTTTCAATAGGAATTTCTTAGGAACCAATTTTAGTGAATTTCCTAATATGTAGAAAAACCAGGTGAAATTTGATTAAACCAAAAGAAAGTGGCAAAATCCAATACAGTTTGCAGCTATGGCATAAAAAAAAGGAGATAAATATGAATAACTGTGTTACCTAATCAATCATTTGTTATATACAATTAATTTTGCATTTCTCTAATTTTATTTTCTTTACACATCAAGTTATTTTTTAAAGAAAAACAATATTTCAAACAGAAAAAAATATATTAAAGAAAGTATTTAAAGAAAATATAACACAACGACAAGGTATGGTAATAAAGCTACAAATTAAGGATTTCAAAACGTTATCTGTATTGAAGTCAGTAAGGTAACTAGCGTCCTCATATGCATCTTTCAGGACAAATGAATCATATCCACAGAAAACAAATTCGAAAAAATTTGCTACGCTTAATCCCTGTTTTATGTTTTTTAATTTTAGAAATTTTTACATTTAGCGGTTAACCTTTTCAGCCAACGTACTATATATTTGCTATCCCGTAATAAAAAACAAGGGGTCAACTTATACACCAATGTCTACAAAATAACGTCAATATTAAAAGATTATTGATTAGATATAATAAAACAATGAAAAAAATTAATTCTGAGCACCCTCTGGGAACTGCTGGTCTAGATGACTGACTGACTTTTAAAAGCATTCTAAATTAAAGGTGGTCATTTAGTTAAGTTTTTGATTGATCTCTCTTCAATATTATATCAATCAGTTGAGATCTACCATTTTCTCTCTCAGTCTAAATGATATTCTTATTAATGATAAAAACTTTTATTCTTCTTCAGTGACATGACAGCCCAGGGTGGGTCCTAGCCTTCAAGAACTTAGACAGTAGCTTTTACTTGTTTATATTTTGTTCTTGTAAAATAATTTAGTGACTTAATGAAATAGGATTTTTGATCCATTATGAGCATCAATGTGTGTAATATAAACAGAATACTTTTTTTTAAAAATTAATAAAAACTCAACTGTCACACAACTGCAAAGTATGGATTGTTTTATCAAATAAAGTGGTATGTAATTTTGAACAAACTTTAAATGAATCTCTAATTATTGTTCAAAAGTGTCCATTTAGATAAATCAACTCAAATGAAAAGGTAAGATTTTATTTTTAAAAAAATCTGGGTTATAAATATGTAATTAAAATACATCACCACAAGAATTTCTACAACGTAGAAACATAAACTTCTAAAACTTAAAGAGAAAAAAAAAAACTTTTTGTTGTTGTTGTCTGAAGGTACTAAAATTCAACTATTTCCCAATCACTCTTTCAAATACAGAAATCTTAACTATAAATCAATAGGTATACCAAAAAATTAATTATTTGGCGCAAACAATACTAGTTAAAGATTCTACAATATTATAATTAAAACACTACACTTTTATTAGTAAAACAGTGTAGTAGATGCTATATGGATTAGATGCTTTATTAGATATTAAATTTCATAGATCATATATTCAGCTTATTTAAATATTTTAGAAAATGTACTATTTCATAGATCATGATGGAAATCTAAATACCATTAACAGCGATTTATTGGATTTCAAAGACAAAGGTTAATTTGTATCTAATTTCTTTATTGATAAATTTACATTTGTAAGAGCCTACAAAAATTTAAAATATAAATATTTAGCTTAATTTAAAATTAGGTGATTTAAAAAAAAAAAAAAATCAAATTTTTTTAGAAAATCTGAAAAGGAAAAAATGAAAAGTATGCACTTTTTTAAGTTGTAAAACAGCTTTATTTATAAAGAACCTATATGAGCCCTGAAAACAAATAAGCAAAAATTCCTTTCAATTTACTTAATACTTTATTTTCATAACAATTATGGCCTGTTTATACGATCCAAGTTCTTGGACGAAGATTCATTGAAATTGATGCAGACTTGTTTTGCTCGGATCGTGTAAACGATCATCCAAGTTATTGGATCATAGTAGAGTACGTTCTACTTTCCATCCAAGTTTTTTCTCCCTTAACCAATCAGCTTCTAAAGTTATGTGACGTCAACAAGCAGACATCAGAGTATGTCATTTTGTTGTACATTTTCATATCTTTTAATCCAAATAAATGAATCTGTTAGGGTATATGTCATACCTGCCAACATTGGAGAAATAAAATAACAAAACTTTATACTAGCAAAATTTTTTAGACTACTTACATTTAGCGAAGTAAAATATATATAAATCTTAATTTAAAAAATATTTTTTAAACCTTTATTTACAATAATTTTGACAATTAACATACTGCTGTGCTGGCTATAGCAGTATCTGTCGAGGAATAAGAGAAGTATTTTTGCAATCAATGGATATTTTATTGACGCCCGGTGGCTGAGCGGTAGCGCTTCGCGCTGTCGTGCCACAGGTCCCTGGTTCGATCCTCGGGCCAGGCAAGGTTCACTCAGCCTTTCATCCCTTCAGTGGGTCGATAAAATGAGTACCAAGCATGCTTGGGAACTAACACTGGGGGTTCCGCGTTCGGCTGACCACCTGACCGGAACATATGCTCCTGCACCCCAGAGCCCAAGGTCAAGAAAACTGAGATGGGCACAGTCGGCCTTGGCCCTCTTAATGGGGCTGTCGCGCCACTGAGTTAGTTAGTTTTTAGGATATTTTATTAGGATTTTTTTAAAAAAAATTTTTTCAACAAATATGGAGAAATTTTAGAATATACGGGTAAACAGGAGATAGCGATAAAATATAAGAGTTTTTGTTAAAAAACTGGAGACTAGGCAGGTATGGTATCTGTGTTATTACGATTTTTGTTTTAATTCATGTAAGTATGATTCAAAATGGTGAATATGAACAACGTGTATGCGCAGGTTTTTCATCCGACAAATGAGTGACGTTCAAGAACTTGAAGTGTGGATGAATCATTCGATTTCTTGGAGAGAGAAATTCCACCAAGAACTTAGACCGTGTGAAAAGGCCTTAAATGTGCTAAAAACAATAAGGAAATACCTTGTATTTATCTTACTGAAAAACTTGAATCAAAAATATGTACAATGAATTCTGAAAATACAAATTCCTGAATTTTTAAAAATTGTCTTAAAAAAAAAAAGAATAAATGACATATAACCTAATTATATTCAATATTTTTTTTCAACCTTCAAACACATACACTAATTCATTCAGACATAAATGAAGTCAAAATAAGAACACAACAAATGTTTAAAAATATAAAAATTCTTCAAAATTTGTTTATTGACGCATCACAATTTTCTTTTAAAGACAATGGGAAAAGGGGGGAATGAGACATTAAATAAATTGAATGGGGGGAAGAGGAAAGGGAACATTCACCATTTTTTCTTGTGCTCATCCATACTGACACCACCCGGACCGAGATACACTACCATCAGTAAGCCACCGATGACAGATTGAGTTTGAAAAAAGTCATATTTCAAAAAATCCCTCATGGGTTTATAGGAGGGAAGTGTCCACCATGCATTGGAATAGAAATTGACGCAGGACAGCCACAGGACTAACAGCAGTGCACAGAGCTTTGTTTTGTAACCGACCGTGACTAGGACCATCAGGGCGGAGGCTATAAGATTTTGAACCGCTTGACCGACACTCATTTCCAGTTTGAGGATGGTAATAAACATTCCCACCAAAAGGATGCGTCCTGTCAGCTGAAGGTAGTTCTTCGGTTTATTTTCTCCTAGTGTTGGAATCCCAGCGAATAAGCTCTTTCCTTCAATTCTGCTCTCGGCTATCAACAGCAAGAGGGCTCCAACCAGGGAAAGATTTCTGCAAGAAAAAACACACATTTCAAAAAAAATAAAATTATAATAATAAAAAATCTAAATATTTTGCCAGAACTACAGTACAGAACCCGCTATCCGGAAATCAGAAAACCGGAAAACCAAAAAACCGGAACGAAATTCGATTAATTTTCCCGCCATTTTTCTTTAAAAAAATTTTTTTTCCTCATAAGATTTCAGGATTTTTCTTTCTTTTTTGAAAGATGTTAACTTACCATCATTTTGGAAGTAATCATTAGTGTATTAATTCATTGTTTTTTCTTCTTTTTAAGATTATTTCCAAATATTTTTTTTTTTTAAGTTGAGTTTGACNAAAAAGTTCTTTTTCGACATCACAAAGAGAAGAAAATACTCCTTTATTTGCATGTTGCTGGATTAGGTTAAGTTTTCACTGGAGATTCATTATCATTGACTTCTGCGTCAGAGCATATTTAAGAAATCACAAAACGGGGAAGGATTTATTATGAAATGTATTGAGCTATGGCACTGAATGATGGAAAACATAGAGAAAATGTTGAAAGCTTTCCAAAATGTGGAAGAGTTGACAGCTTTTAAGTAGTAATCAATGTAACTTTTTGTGTATAAGTTTAAATATCTTTTTTCCTAACATAAAGATATTATGGTTTATAAAAACAACATTTTCACAAAAGCAAATATTTTCAGAATGAACATGATTTTAATATGAGGCAGGGCACTATAATGAAAACTCTGAAAATTCCCAGTTAAAATCAGAGCACTCATATCACATAAATAATTATTTTTATTAATAAAAATTAGAATTTTACAGTTAAAAAAGAAAATCACTTAATAAAATGGCAAATATTTTCCACATATAATTATCAATGAAATAATGTTACCTCAATAAGAAGTGAAGATCCCAGAGAATACTGTATGCTATGGTCTGAAAAAAAAAGTATACATAGTAAGTATACAAAAGTATCACAATAAAGAGACAACAAAAAATAAACAGAATAGAAAGAATAAAGGAAATTAAGAAAAAAGAATAGTTTTATTTATTGTGCATAAGCTACAAGTAATAGTACCCATAAGAGATAAAAATATAAAGAAAAAAAAATATTTTTAAAGAGAAGAAAAATTATTAATAAATAAAATTTCAAGTTTAAATTTTTCAAAAAATGAAAAAGCTGAAAAACAAAATTAGTATAAAGTAAGTATAATAAAAACAAATAAGTACAAAAAACAAAGCAAGCTTTTTCATAGTTTATTACAAGTTATCTTCTTTAAAATATTTGTATGCAATATAAGACATATGCGAAAAAAATATGAGACATGAGGGGAAAAAATGAGTTCTTTTGTACTATAGTGAAATGATGTCTCAGATATTTCATTTCTGAGATATCCAATTTTCTTCCCGTTATAGCAGAAATCAGATTAAAATTGAACAACAACAAAAAAAAAGTCTGGTAAAAATTATTAAGAAGCAGAATACTTTTGTCAATATAAAAAAATGTCTTGCAAATGTAAAACAAACAAAAAAAATTTGGAAAGAGAAAATTTTCTTGTTTATTTTGATTGTTAGAAATCCGACCGGAAAAGAGACACATCCAGTGAATGGATGCTTGGATATGGGACTTTGTACTGTGTTTATACATCTATATCATAAGTTTCAGCCATATTTAAAGTATATAACTATGATTTGTCTTGATTACAACTCCAAGAATATTACGTATATGCCTTTAATTTATACAAATAACCCCCGTGGCAACACAGCGACATTGTCGCAGAACATTACAGAGTTCTGCAGAAAGATTTTTTTATTTCGAAAGGAAAGAAGTTTGGGTTTTTTCATCTCAGAATTTTTCAAAATATTTTTTTCCTACAGAACTTTTTATTCCTCCCTTTCTGCAGAATTATAATTAAAAAAATGCCTTTCTCGCATATCGGATATGAAGAAAACAAAACGCTCGTCAACTTTCCCCCCCTTTTCTTTTGAGAATAAAGAAATTCCGCAATGATTGGCTTTAGGTAGAATTTCAGATAAATATTATAAAAAGTAATTTTTAAATAGCAAAAATTTAAAAAAAGGTTAACTATACAAATATTTTTCAGAACAGGAGAATATCAACAATATTAGAAAAAATTCTTATATAACATTCATAATTAAAAATATACAGTGCTGGCCAAAAGTATGGACATGATTTGAAAGTTTCATGTTTTTCAACTTTGTGCGCTTGTAGAATATATTAAGTTTTACTTAAATACAAACGTTTAGATATCAAATTGAAGGTAATTTAATGTAGAATTTAATAACAAAAACAGAATTAAAATATCTGTATTACAAAAAAAGTGATGCTCATTTTAGAAGAACACACACAAATTGTTTTGAATAAGGACGTGTTTTGTAATAAAAGCATACTAGCCAATCACAAACACTGTTTTTAGGACCAATCAAATGTATGTAACTATAGTTTAGGTTATTTGGATGGTAAAAGAGTTATTGTTGTGGAAATATTTTGCGGAATGATGCATACTAGTACAATTAAATAGAGTATTGCTGTTTTTGAATATTTAAAGTCCTTTTTTTTAATTAAACTAATTTTAAACAATGTGATCAACAAGAAGAACTAAATGGACATCTACAAAAAGAAGCCGAATTGTCATATTGAGAGAAAATGGCCTCTTTTATAATGAAATTGCAAGACAAGTTGGTGGTTCAGTGAATTGTTCTGGTGTACGAAAGTTCTGTTTACGTTATGAAAAAACGAAATCAGTGGAAAATAAAGCCAAATCAGGCCGAAAAAATTCACAAGTGCTACTGCCAATAGAAAAATTAAACGCCTATGCCTTCACGATAGAAAAATTTCATCAGATGCCATTAGATGCGAAATGAATGCAACGGGTACTGCAGTAAGTTCAAGAACAATAAGAAGGTTACCAGGATTTGGACTACTAGCTAGAATTCCAAGGAGAAAAAACAATATTTAAATCAAAAGCAAAGTGAAAATCCAGTTAAGTGGGCAAAACAACACATTAAATGGTCAGAAAATCAATGGAAGCAAGTAATCTGGAGCGATGAGAGTAAAATATCGCTCTTTAGTAGTGATAGTAGAAAATATGTGAGATGTACAGTAGGTGAAGCACTTCATCCTGATTGCATTGAAGCAACTACAAAAAACCCAACAAATGTCATGATTTGGGCATGCATGTCTGCAGATGGTGTGGGCCGAATTCAAGTGATTCATGGCATCCTGAATGCCAAAAAATACATCGAAACTGTCCTGAAACTAAAATTGATACCTTCCATCTGGAATCTCTTCCCCAACAACGCACCATTTATTTTTCAGCAGGATTCAGCTCCATGCCAAACAGCAAAAGTATGCAAAGCATGGTTTCAAAATAAAGGCATAGATATATAACCATGGCCAGGAAACAGCCCTGATCTCAATCCAATTGAAAATTTGTGGCAACTTTTGAAAATTCTTGTACGAAAAAAACGTCCATCCAATAAAAGACAACTTATTGAAGCAATAATTGATTCTTGGCACCATGTGATTAAGAAAGATGCTGTGAAGCTGTCTTAACCCACAGGTCCTCCCAAAATCAGCTTAGGACATCCAAAATCCAAACCCTGTTGAGAACCCACTTTTTTAAAAGTCTAACGTAATCATTATTTATTAACGGCATGGCAGAACAAATTATCTTTTACATGGAACTATCTTAACGTAAAAAATTTATTTACTTGTGCTTAAAAAGTTACCGAAATATGGTGAAAATAGTAAATACTAAATAAAGGAGCTCAAACTATGTAATGAATCAGCATCTAGTACAGTTCATATTAGGTTAACAATCTAAGATGAGTGAGATTTGTGTGTATAAGTTGCATTACCTGTAGAAAAACAATGAAGAAGAGCAGTCCACAGGCAGCATCTACTTTGAAACGAGCGAGCACCATCAAAGATCCGATTATCTGTCCGAAGAGGTTTATGAAGACGAAGCACGAACCGAGGAACCAACCGATTCCCCAGGAGACATCCATATAATCTCTTTGTTCTCCCCATTGCATCCACATGCGCACGCCATCCTCCAAAAATGTGCTCACCAAACACAATCGAGCAAGAGTGGGAAGTATGTGCTTTCCGTAACGCAAAACCTGTGGAGAGAGAATAATGCAATTACTTTAACGCAAACCTCGTAGTGGTCCCAAGAAAAAATCAGGATAATACATTTTAAAAAAAATCAGGACATCCTTTGAAAGAGTATACAGAGCCAAGTCTTTAAACAAAAAATAAGCACCTTTTAAGTACTCAAAAAATATTTTTAAGCACTTTATACATTAATAAAACATAAAATAATTTTTAAAGATTTTACATGATCATGATAAAATGATCAAGAGATTTTTTGATTCGATAACAGAGGGTGGGAAATAAAGCCTGAAATTGAGAATATTTTGCAAAATGCAGCACAGTTGCACGAGAGTGCAATAATCTCACCGAACTCAGGTCAGTAGACATACAAGTGTTTCATCACACATGTAAAATGATTGGCGCTTTCATACGCTATGGACAGAGAATACACTGAAATAGATTGTGGTTGAATAAATTGGGAAAACGTTGAATAGAACAATGAGAAAATCACGCTTTATCATAATACGTAGCGAAAATTGACATGGTAAAGAAAAAAAATCTAATTTTGGAAAAGGGAAAATTAAACACTTTTTAAAAACACCCAATGAAAAAAGACCCTTTAAAGGCTTTTAAAAATGGAAATTAAGCATTTTTTAAAAACGGTTTGCACCCTGGCATACTTAAATCAAACCACTTTTAAAAAGGGAAAACAAAAAGTAAAATTTGTTCCACTTTAAGTTGATGGTGTAGCTAAGGTTTACAGTGACTGGACAAATTAAAAAAACAACAACCCCCTTTTAATTACGGTGTGAAGCTTATCTTAAGAGAGGCTTTTCGGGACCACTTTAAAATGACTATGACATTCCTAAAAATTAAAAAAAAAATGCTTTTGCTATTCAAGATCTAAAATTCAAACTGTTCAACAATGCAACAAAATTGCTACTCATTAAAATATAAGTTTTAAAAAATAAGAAAAAACACCATTTTTCTAGCGAACTATCTTCAAAATGATTACAATTTTGGAATTATTTTTTAGATTACGAATTTCATACTTATGTGTTTGCCACAGTAGTTCCTTAATTCCAGTAGAAGCTATCAAGGAATTTTATTTTATTGAAATTTCTACGACAATGTGGTTCTTTCTACAAATCTGCGTAAAAAAAGTCTTTATTGCATATGAATGAGAACTTGGGAATAAAATTAAGAGGGGATTGGTAAAGGTTTAATAAATGTCGCTTTTGTCTAAGTATCAAATTAGTGGAACTCATAGAAAATTTTGACGGAATATAAATAATTAAATTGCAAAGTTCAAGCATCAACAGTCTTGAGATTTGCGGAAGAATCACATGCCTGATATGATAAACCCCTTTGAATGGTGATTCAGAAGAGTATTCATTATACAAAATCAGAATAGAAAAAAAACAAACTTAAATGCAGACATCACTAATTTGACAGATTTATTTTGCTTTCGCCTTAATCAAGGTTAGTCTAATGACAGTCAGCGCAAAAGGGTAAATTACAATAATGAAAATTTTATAATCCACTCAAAAATGTGAATAGACATCTTACATACCACATCAACAATCTGAAAAAAAGAAAAAAAAAATTATGAAACACAAATAATCAAAATGTTATACCTCATCAACAAAATCTTCTGCTACTCTTAATACCTCTTTTTGGTCAACCCGCGCCATTTCACATAGGCGACACCACTAAATTAAAAAAAAATATACATTGTTAATTGAAAACTAATAAGCAAAACAAGCAAAAAAAAAAATTCTTCCAAACTGCAAATGCAAAACTACAGAGTAGATTTCTTTCCACATACAAGTACTAAATAAATTAGATGTTTTAAATGCAGAATTTATAAATCATTTGAATGCAAACAAGATAGAAACAAAAACAGTTTGTACTCAAATGAAGAAAACGATAGGAACTTTTTAAAATTGCTTAACTTTGATATTTTAGATATTTGTTAAAAAGCAATTGATATTTTAGATATTCTTTAAAAAGAGAATAATAATTCATTTGCAACTTAATTAGCTTATAAAAAGAAAATTTAAAGAAACTCTCATTGTACTCTTAAGAAAAGATTAAAAAGTAAATTTTGACAGAACAGAAGAAAAAAAAAATTGCCCAAACTTTTAATAAGAAAAGAATTTTTATGCATACTGCAGAAGAATGTTTACCGACCAGATTTACTGGAAGGGTCAGAAAATTATTTTAGTACTTTATTGCAGACCAATGAGGTTATTAATCTGGACTATTTTCATTTGGGTTTTCACAAATATAAACTTGTGCCACTTAGGAAATTTTTGCTATAGCTAAAATAGCTAAGCACAAGAGAAATGTCTCCAAAAAAATGTAGAACTCTTTCAACTTTTTTTTTTACAATATTTATTTTTTAAACACATAAAAATTAAATTAAATAAATTTTAAAAAAATTGTTAAATTTCCTTACGTTAGTCTAACCGAAACATACCCAATTTTTTAATCACTCGGACAACACAATAAAAAATATCTTGAGCATAAACAGTAAGTTACTGATTTATTTTGATCTTTCTCAAAGTACCAGATAGTAATCAATTAATTATACAAGTTCTGTTTATGGTAATGGATGGCAAAAAAAAAAAATGTTATTTAAAATAAAAATACATTAAAAAAACAACAACAATCAAACTCACACAAATGCAACTCAAAATCACTTCACTAACGCCACACAAACTTTAATCCTAAAAACAAATGTAATAATTAAATTGTCAAAGAAAGTGTTACATAGAAAAACAAAACACCAATGCAATATTCGTTACGCCAATCACCTCCTCCCATCTGTGCAATCCATCAAATCCCTATGCACACAATACAATCTTCTCATTTCTTCAATCAGCTCATTTACAAGACGGGAATATTTCTGTATCACGATCTGTCGCGCCAACTACAATGGCCAAGGTGTCAAATAGAGTATTTACAAATGACACAAACGGTAAGGCGTCTAGTCAAATAGAGGCTGCAACTAAAACCATACAGAATTCAACATTTGCAGCAATTGAAATAGGAAGACTACAGCAAACATATGAATTATGCTACGTATAGGTTGGTAAGTATGGAGGATGAAACAATGGCTGATCGTCTCATTTTCAGCTATGAAGCAACCTACCACATAAGTGGAAAGGTTAACTATCACAACAGTTGAATATGAGGTACAGTGAAGCCTTCCACCATAATTGAATATGAACGTGACTTCCGAAAGTTAATGTGTTCCCCCATGGCAGAATTTTTTCGGACTTTCAGCGACAAACTTCCCTAGCATTAATATTTTTCTTTAGAATACTTTTAATTATAACAATTGCTAATATAAAGTAACAGAAACTTTGCGTTTACAGAAGAGAGTAGAGAATAAAAATGTATAAAAAATTTTAATTGTAAAAAAGATAATTTTTTAAAATTAGAATATTACAGGCACTTTCTCGTATTATGTAAGTGAAAAATGCACTAATTATCTGCTGCTTCAAATTTTGTATATCATTACGAAAAGTAAAATTCGTAAACAAATTAAACGGTAACAAATTCAAATTCATACTTAAATTGAAAATCTTAAAATTCAGTGCAGTAAACTCCAAAATGTGAATAGTACTCTTAAAAAAAAAAAAAAAGAAAGAAAAAAAGAGAGAGATACTCAATTGTGTGTAAAACACGATGTTCTTTAAAGGGGGGGGGGGAATGAAAGAAAGAACATTTCTAGATCAAACTTTATTTTAAACTTCTGCAATTTCTGAATTTTTTTTATTTCATATTATTAATTTGAAATTCTATCTGAAGCCACTGCAGACTTCCTTTTTTGAATCCCAAATGAGAATAGAAAAAAATCACGATTATTTCTTCAATCTCTGATGCGCAAAAAAGACATATTTGGAGGAAAAAAAAAAAAAAAAACATTTTCGAAAAATTATGCAGAAAGGAAAACCAAAATTTCCCTCTCCCCAAATGAAAAATCTTTCTGCAAAAGCTCTAACGTTATGCAACAATGGTGCTGCAATTCTGCCACGGAGATGTGTTCTGTGAGATCTCATCCCATAAACTTGCTTGAGGTACGCTTAATGCCAACAGCTAGATATTGATTCTACAAATTACATCTTGCTTTAATATGGAGCACCCTCACACTGGGCACATTTTTAAACAAACATCTTCCAAGCTGTTGGATCGGTCGAAGTGGGGATGCCGGCAATTTCTTCTGCACATAGCCACAGAGATCTCCGGACTCGACACCCTGCGATTTCTGTCTATGAGGTTTTGTGCTTCCCACGCTCAAAACAATTGAACTCAAAGAACGCATTTGTAATGAGCTTGCATCAGTGACTGCACAAATGCTACAAAATGTATGGCGTGATATGGACTACCACCTAGATGTTGCCCGTGAGACCAAAGGAAGTCACATAGAAAATCTGCAACGCACGTATACAAAATTTCGAAGTTCCTTTTACATTCAGTGTAAATTTTACCAATGAAATTTTTTTCATTAAATAGTTACAGTGGTTTGTAATCACTATATTCATTTTGAATTACCCTGCATTTTTGCAGGAATTTAAGTAATTAGAATATTGCTTTAAGAATGAATTTTTTGTGACGTTAATTTTTTGGTTTTGTGCATCACATTTGGATTTTATCTTGTTGATGTGAAGATTGGTATTTTTATTGTGTTAATTTGTGCAATTTAGGAGTATGGATACAAACTTTCGAGGGTTGCTAGTTTTCTAAAAAAAAATTAATGAATGAAGTCAGATGTATTATTGTGTTTATATTTCCATTTAGATTTTGTTTTAATTTTACGCCAAGCGGTAACAGAAATGTTGCTTTGTTAATGCTTTAAATTTAACCATCACTAATGATTTTTCAAGATTAAGTGTTATTGCCCAGAATACATTTTCTGGTATATGCTACACTGATTTTGTTTCTTTAAGTTTAAGCGCTACTGACCAAGATTCATTTGATCTGTATGTACTACACTGTTGTTTTATTAAGGTCAAGTGCTACTGCCTGGGATATATTTATTTGCCCTAAATGGGTATATCCTACACTGATGTTTTATTAAAGCTAAGTGCTACGTTTAGTTGTTTGGTATGAAAAAGATACAAGCTGGTAACAAAACTACTACCTTGGGGCTAAGATTCAGTGTAGGTCTGAGCACAAAATGAAAATCGCCAAAAATCTGGTGCATATTTGATAACAAATCAGTTCTATCCTGTTAAATGATCATCACTTCTTTTCAGAAAAAAAGACAGACTCCAAGTGCTTTATTCTCACTTAAATAATTTAACTTAAATAACATAAAAGTCTTTGCAGTTTAATGTTGTTTAAGTGCTTTTAATTATGATGAAAGTATTTTTAATAAGCATAGTAATGAAAACAGCTAAAACGATTTTATACAACTCTTTAACATCTGTCCATATTGATATATTTCCACTGTTTTGCAAAAATTAATATGTGCTAGAATGAAAACTGAATAAATGCTGTAAGAAACCTGCCCAGTTAAAAAAAATTATAAATAAAAACAATTTTAAGCTTTAAAAAGTAATGCTTGATAAAGGATCAATGTAATACAACTTTAAACTTACTATGCCAGAACTAAATTTATGAAAAAAAATATGTGAACCTACATATAAAAATACATAATATTTCAGCATTATGCTAATAGGTTTTTTTTTTTTCTCTTATCACATTAAGAAAACGAAATGAATGGGTTTTGACTTCTATTTCAGTTTAAACGCCACTGGTTTAGATGTGTTTAAACATATCAAAAAAATGCTTGCTAGTTTTCAATTGGATTGGTCTTTTTTAAAATCTATATAGCGTTCATTGAGCAGCTTGCATATTAAATAACTTTTTATAAAAGCTCTGGACGAGGAAATCTATTTTCACAACCTGACATTACATCTGTCATACTTAACACACGAATACAATACGGTCAACAAAATAGAGAAATATAAAAACTACAAATACACACATTTTAAAAGCAAATGTTCAGATCAAAACAACAAATAAATTCTAAATTTCTTTAAAATATTTTACCGATCCGGCTAATGCCACGTAGTTTCACGCCTGATATTTTTTCAACTTGGATCTTTCGTCGGCAATGTTTGCAGTAAAAAAGTTGCAGTTTTTATTTTCAATCCTGATGTAAATATTTGGATGATGCATTTGGAAACGCATTAAAATATTGTTTAGCTTTAAAGAAGTTTTAAATTTTTATTCATGCTTATATATCAAATACATATACTTTTTAAAAGTATTTCGAAAACATTTTTGTTTAAAAGTAAGCTATAAGCTAAGTTTCATCATCCTTAGCTTAGACGTAGGCCTGGACTTAGAGGCAACGAGTGATGATATCACTACGTGAGGGAAGTGATGCGGTAGACAAGAGAGAAATACTTCGTTGCTAAGCAACCAAGGTGAGGATGCAACCTTGCCTTCATGGAGGACTTTTTGATGGAGCTAACCCGCATTTGCGTTACATGGAGAGGAAGATTACGAGAACCTACCTCAGTCAGTCTGACGGCAAAGGGACCCATGGGACCGTCTACCACTGAGGATATTTCACGTCAGCACTCCCTTATGAAAATTTAAGGTATATTTAAGGTTGATTTGAGGTATTTTTGAGGTATTAAGGTTGTTTTGAGGTATATTTGAGGTATATTTAAGGTTGCAGAGAAAACAGAAATAAAAATTATACCTCGTAAAGGTTGTAATTAAGGTGTACGAGGTTGATTTATATATACTTCAGCTTGTTTTGAGGTTGTTTAAAATTCACTTCAAATCATCCAGACTGATAAGGTGATTTTTAAGGTATACCAGGTTTATTTTCTTACATTTGTAACAAAAGAGGTATTTTTGAGGTGTAAAATTTTTTACCTTATTTCAACTAAAAAGAGTGAGATATTTATTGAGGTATATGAAGTCATTTTATTTATACCTAAGCTTATTTTGAGGTTGTTTTAAATTCACTTCAAATCAACCAGA